GCTCGGGTCGCTCGGCCCCGGGCCGAGAGGTGTGGACCCCGCCGCTGCAGCGGCCGGACTGAGGGACCTCGGCCCCCCGCGAGACGCTGGGGCATCAGCCCTCACGGTCTCCCGGGAGGCGCCCTGGCATGGCCACGCCGGAAACGAACCTTCCTGTCCTCCGTTAAGCACTCAGGGAACGCCTCGTGTATACCGGGCCGGCGTCCAGCACTAACGCGGCGCCCGCTCTATGCCAAGCGGGAGACAAACGTTAACGGAACGCCCACTGTAAACCAGGCGCGAGCCAGGCAGTAGCGCGGCGCCCGCTACGTACGTGCCGGCCACGTACGAGGCGTCCGTGCGGGGCCTGCTCTCTGCCGGGATACAGCGGGATGTGCGCCAGGGTATGTGCTCCGTGTGCGTGCGGGTCACGCATTAATGCAGCGCCTGCTGTGTATCAGATGTGGCCCAGGCATTGGAGCAGCACCTACTTTCCAACTGGGCATGGACCAAGCATTAATGTAATGCCTGCTGTATACCAGACAGGGCAAAAGCATTACGGGGTGCCTACTGTCAACCATGCGTGGACCAGGCATTGGTGCAGTGCCTGCTGTATTCCAGACAGGGAACAAGCATTAATGAGGCGCCTACTTTATACCAAGCGCTGCTTGAAGCCCTTTAAACCGACCCTACTGCCCGGTTGATTTTACTGGAACGTAGCCAAGCCCTTGCATTTACATATGGAGCCGGGCTGCTTTCAGCCTGCACCCGACCAGTCCTGTGGTTTCGACAGCCCTAAACTATTTACCATCTGGCCTCATACAGAAAGAGACCTAGAACAAGGCTCAAACACGGAGAAGGTCCTCAGTCAAGGTGTTTTGAATGATGGAAAAAGAATAAAAGAGCCTGAAGTGTTCCCAGCGCAGCAAACCCATTTTACAGACAGGGAAGCTGAGGCTCCACTAGGCACGGTTCCCTGCTATGGCACCTCTCCCAGCCCTGACCCGGTGAGACCGCCCCCACCTCCTCTCCCCACCTGGCACTGCCCAGACCCCATCACACACCTTCCGAGCTGCACCTTGACACGCTGTTCTTGCCTATCTTGAGATATGAGGTGAGGGGAGGGTCAAAGTCTCCATTTATTAATTGAGTGGGTGTGTGGGGAGATTCGTTCCCTGAAGCTCTCCTCTCTGGGGCTTCCAGCTGCACCTTGCTGGACACACAGCCAGGGCGGGGGAGGGGGTCCATGGGGCTACCCCCCACAAATAGAAGCTCCATGTGTTGTGGGCCGCCCCAGTGACCAGCAGACTGTGAGCTCCAGGAGGGCAAGTCTCGGTCACCAGGGGGTCCTCTCCCCCTCTGCAGCAACACGCCCATGCGCCAGGTGCCAGGTGGATGGGGACAAGCAGAATCCCTCACCCATTGTGCAGTCCCATGTGTGCAGGGAACCTTGTCCACCTCATTCTCTGTGGCGTCCCCGGCACTAACAGCACCTGGCAAATAGTGGGTGCTCCATGAATGTTCCTGAAACCAGCGAGGGAGCCCAGCTGTCTTGCATGCTTGTCCTCCTTCTCTGGAGAAGAAGAAATCACTGTACTTTCTTCCCTTCTGTGCTCCTGCTCCTTGCTGCTGTCAGCCTCCTCCTGGCGCAGGGCCTGAGGGGAGCCTGCTTCTCCCTCTGCCCGCCACTCCCCATGCTTGTGCCCTCTGTCTCTCTCTAGCGAGTAAATAAAGAAATAAAAATAAAATCTTAAAATTAAAAAAAATAAAATAAAATTCTGGAAAATGCCAACTACGGAAATCCATAGTGACTAAAAGCAGGTTTCTGGTTGCCTAGGGACAGGGGTGGGGACAGGCAGGGGCACAAGGAAACTTTCTGGGGTGATGCAGGTGTTTGTCACCATTTTGATTGTGCTAGTGGTTGCGCTGGGGTCGACACAGGACAAAACTCCACTAATTGAGGATTTTAAACACGGGCAATTCATTGCATGTCAGATAAGCCTTCATAAAGCTGCAAAAACAAGAAATGTTCGAAGAGGTGGTACTTGTAAAGTACGCAGTGGGTGCTTAATAAATGCTTACATGTTCACAAGGACCCCAGGCAGGAGCAGGCAGGGTTGGGGCTGCAGTTGCGGGCAGGGAGAGTCGGTGTGCTCCTTCAGCCGCACCACCCCCTCCCGCCTCAGCTCTGCCCTGGACACCTGGAGGAGGAAGTGGGGGTAGCGGCAGGGACCAGATCTGCCCGGGGGGGGGGGGGGGGTTGCCTCCCCCTTCTCATCCATTTGCTGCATGCCTACCATTGGCCAGGAGCTGGGCAGGCACCAGGAAGGCCCTGATGGATAAGATAAGGAAACTGAGGTCCACGGAGAGATGTTGAACCGGGCCCCGGGGCCCAGCCAGTTGCTAAACGCTGACTTTGGCTTCCCCACCCAGAGGCCCAGGGAGACAAAGTCCGCGGCTGCCGCATCTTGATGGCCGGGAGGCCCTGCCTTCCTGGCTCCCTGGGGCCTCCTGGCCTCCTCTGTCCTTGGAAGTTGGCCTCCCATGCCTTGAGGAGTTTGATTTTATGAGGGGTCCAGAGGCTGGGGAGCAGACCGTCTCCCGGCACAGAGCAAAGGTGAGGGGGCCCAGGCTGGGGCAGGCAGGTTGCAGGGGCCCCCAGGGTCAGAGTGCCAGCCCCGGGATTGGGCGGCAGGTTTCACAGCACCCAAGTGCCTAACCTTCTCCGGGGCTCGATGCTGATTTTCTATTAAAGAAATCACCCGGATCACGTGGACACTTCGTGTCAGAGGAGACTGGGGGAGCCTGGCATCCTTGTCCTGCCGTGCCCCTGGCATTGTCCCCAGCCTGCAATCATGGAGACTATTGGTTTGTGTACTTTTTTTTTTTTTTCAAAGATAGTGCCGTCCACAAAGACTGGGTCTGTGCTGTGTTTCCAGAACCCAACTCTAGGCCTGGTCCACAGGAGGCACCCAGGAACACCTGCACAGCTCCATAAATACGAGTTTGTACTCTTTACCAAAGAAAGACATACAGAGGGCCCAGGAGCACTTAGGGAAAAGCAAATTAAAACCACAGTGAGGGCGCCTGGGTGGCTCGGTTGGTTAAGCGACTGCCTTCGGCTCAGGTCATGATCCTAGAGTCCCTGGATCGAGTCCCGCATCAGGCTCCCTGCTCGGCAGGGAGTCTGCTTCTCCCTCTGACCCTCCCCCTCTCATGTACTCGCTCTCTCTCAAATAAATAAATAAAAATCTTTAGAAAAATAAAAAAATAAAACCACAGTGAGCTGCCACGTACCAGAATGTCTAAGATGAAAAAGTCTGACCATCCTACGTGCTGACAAGAATAGGGGGCAACTGGAACTCTCATCTGCAGCTGGTGGGAATGCAAAGTGGTAGACCCACTGCGGAAAACGACGTGGGGGGATCTAAAAAGGTGAACCATTTACCTACCGAGGGATCTAACCATTTCATTCCTAGGTTTGTTTTGTTTTGTTTTGTTTTTTTAAAGATTTATTTATTTATTTGAGAGAGCGAGAATGAGAGAGACAGAGAGAGAGTACACGAGAGGGGGGAGGGTTAGAGGGAGAAGCAGGCTCCTCGCCGAGCAGGGAGCCCGATGCGGGACTCGATCCCGGGACTCCAGGATCATGACCTGAGCCGAAGGCAGTCGCTTAACCAACTGAGCCACCCAGGCGCCCTCATTCCTCGGTTTTTAACAGACAGAAATAAAAAACATTTGTCCATATAAACATTTGCACAAGGATCCTCAGGGCTGTCCCACTTTAAGTAGTCAGTGGGTGAGAGTCAGACTGTCTTCATCCCTGCAGGCTGTGTGACACTTAGGAAATGGCTGTCCTTCTCTGAGCCTCTGTTTCTTCTTCTGTTAACATGGGGGCGATGATAAGAATTTCCACATACCGATAAGCACGTGAAAAGATGCTCTGAGGGGTGCCTGGGTGGCTCAGTCGTTAAGCGTCTGCCTTCGGCTCAGGTCATGACCCCAGGGTCCTGGGATCGAGCCCCGCGTCGGGCTCTCCGCTCCGCGGGAAGCCTGCTTCTCCCTCTCCCACTCCCCCTGCTTGTGTTCCCTCTCTCGCTATATCTCTCTCTGTCTCAGATAAATAAAAAAAATCTTTAAAAAAAAAAAAAAAAGAAAAGATGCTCTGCCCACGGCAGACACCCAATAAATGCTGGTTTGTGTGATTCAAAAAAAAAAAAAGATACCCAATATCATTAGTTATCAGGGAAATGCAAATCAGAACTACACTGAGATACCGTTCCACGCCCACGAGGAGAGCTATAATAAAAAAGACAGACAGCACCAAGTGCTGATGAAGACGTGGAGAAACTGAGTCCTTGTGCACCTGATGGTGGGGATGGAAAATGGTGAAGTCGCTGGGGAAACAATTTGGTCTTTCT